GGGGTGGGGTGGGGGGGTTTGGTCGTTGCTACGGTACTATGCAGTGGGCTTTGCTGCCACCCCATGGTCTGTTAGCATAACGCAGCACTGGGAAACCAGTAAGTGTCAGCTCGATAAATCTTTTTGCCTCTTCGTTCACTGGACAAAACATGAGGTAATTTTTGCAATTTTTTTTTGCAAATTTCACAAATTTTTGCCAAAAAGAAATCGCAAACCTGCGGGCCAGGAGGGTTAACACGTAATGAACTGCACTTAACCTTGCACTGGGGCAGCGCTTGAGCGAATCCAAGGAGATTTTTAAGAACTGCAGTTTTGATGTTCCATTGCTGATCTGCTGTTTTCTTGTTCTGCATCTGCTTCAGGGGTATACTGTGAAATATGTTAGCATGTGTAAATGGAGGGGATATGCCTGAGAGGTTAAGTTCATCGTATTTATAAAGCTGGGAGTGGGAGAAAACACGTTAATAAAATACTGGACTTTAATATCTTCACTATCTCTTCCTCTCTGTCCTGTAATAATCTTTGAAGTTCTAAGTTTTCTTTAATGCCTAAATAATCTCTTGTTTGGAAAATACTGTCATAGATCTAAAAGATGATTTATCATTGTGTGCTTTTCGTTTTGTCTTGTTTTTCATGCGGCACAACAGAACAATTCACTGTAAGTGAACCTGAAATTATTGTGCTGGTTTTGCCTGTAATTCCCAGTGTGTTTTTCTGTGTGAAGTGTTGGTTGGTGGTGGTTTTGGGTGGGGTTTTTTTTTGGTTTTTTTTTTTTTTTTTGGTTTGGGGTTTTTGTTTGGTGGTTTGGGTTGGTTTTGGTTTTTTGGTGGTGGGTTTGGTTTTTTTTTTTGAGTTGCATGTGAAGAAAGAGATGTGCTACATTTGGTTTTGTTTGATATTGTGCTATATCTGTTTAATCATTATGGCATACCCAAATCTTTGCAGTGCCAACTAAGCAACATATTTGTGGCTGTAGTTAAATTCCTGGAAAAGTGTTCTGCGAGCTTCAGTTTTATTATATCGTAGTAATGCCTGGCAGCATCGTGGTAGGTAAAGTCTGTTTGTGTCTCTGAGTTAGCTTTTATGAGACTGTTTGACTCTTATTATTGCATTTTGAGCTGATATGTAGTATTTATAGTCTCCTAAGTTTGAGACATGCTTTAGATTCATTTATGTATTTTTTTTATCTAATGAAAACCTGGGCAACAACATTTCCTTTGAAGTTCACTTTTTCTACTAATGCACCCGAGAATATTCTTTTAATCAGGGCTATCTTATGTTTATCAAGCACTGGCACTCAGTATTTCTGGAAATTCCTAGATATTGTTCACTGGTTTTGTTATTTAAATAAGAAAACTAAAGGTAATTGTCTCTCTTGGAAACTTGATTTTTAAACAATTCTTTAGCTTCCAGCATGGGAAGGTCTGTAACCTGTGTTAAAACTTGTTCTATTTAAATCAAAATCTGATGGTTTTTTCTTCCTGACCAATTTTTCCAGCTGACTTTTCTCCCCGCCCCCCTCCCCCCTAGTTAAGGGCATGTTTTGATGTTTGCATCTCTCCCAAATTCTGTGGGATTGTCCAGAAGTTATCACATGTTTCCATGGCCTACAGGCAGTGAACAAATCATTGTCAAGTTACAACATTGCTATAATGTGTCAATCTTTCATGACATTACATTGGTGCTTCAAACCAATTTTTCTATACAGACAAACTGGGAACATGAACCTCTAAAGGAGAGAGGCCATGAGGTCTTTCGTCCACTACATCAATAGTGTTCGCTTAGCAGGGGGAGCCAAGGGCTTATTTCCAGGAAGCAGTCATCCTAGTGTAACTTGTTAAAATTAGTATAGAAATTATAGAAGCACTTTCATCCAAAATGCATATGCTTTGGTGAAGTTCAGCATTCATCCAGTGATATAAAATTATTGGGAAACTTTCATATTAAAGGGTGTGTCTACAGAGTGCTTGTTTTGATTCTGCATAAATAACCAGGGACAGAGCTCAGAGGTGGGCTCACCAAATTCAAAGTTCATAGAAAAAAGAAAAAAACCCAATCAAACCCACCACTTTGTACTAGTGATCTAGAATCAGAATGGTTTGGGTTGGGAGGGACCTTAAAGACCATCTAGTTCCAACCCCCCTGCCATGGGCAGGGACACCTTCCACTAGACCAGGTTGCTCGAAGCCTCATCCAGCCTGGCCTTGAACACTTCCAGGGATGGGGCATCCACAACATCTCGGGGCAACCTCTTCCAGTGCCTCACCATGCTGGTGAGGGAGGAGAGCGTGGTTGCTCTCTGTGAGCTAGCTTGAACCTGGCTCACATTTGTGGTGAGGATGACATGAGTAACACCACATGATGTGTGGTGTACGGTAAGAGTGGGATGCTGTAACTGGTGGGGTGGGGTGAAAGGGTGGCTCTTTCTCCCGACACAAATGCAGATTGGGATGTTCTGGTCAGCAGATAAATTTTCACCATAGCTGAAGATGGCCAAATCCTTCATTGAATTTGGAGGGGAGGTCTATAGTTCTGCTTATGGATCCAAAAGCACAGAGAATTTGCCCTGCTGATCTATGGGATTTCTAGCTCCAAACAGGACCCTGTGATTTTTGGAACATCTTTTGGGATTTTGTGCTCTGGGTGCTGTGATAAAAGGAACTTACTTTGGGCTGGCACAGGACTGCCATGCTCAGTGCATCCTGTCTGCCAGTCCCATGGTGTGTTAAAGCTAACCTTAACCTTAGTGGTTGTATTAATTTGGGAGGGTTTTATCAAGCTTCAAGGCCTGACATCCTGTCCTGGTTGTGCTTGGGTGGGAGGTGAGATGAACCCCCATGCAGAGGGGTGACGCACTGTACCTCAGCTGGGCTCTTCAGAGGGAGCTCAGGCTGTGGGCTGGCTATCTGCTGAAGGAAACTTCATGATGAGGTACCAGCATTTTATTTTTGATACCTTAAGATAATATGTAAGAGGTACTTAACAAGTTGTGACTTTGAGTAAGGCCTGTTTCATCCTTAGTCAGGGGTGGTAAGCAGTAAATGTCAGCTGGTGCTTGCCTCCTGTGTGATGTGTTCTGTGCTGCTGTCACTCCAAATGCTGTCTGCTGAAACCGGCAGTGCTTCCATGCTGCCTGTTTTAAGTTCCTGAGCATGGGTAGAAGCGAGTAAGTTACCCTGCCTCTGAAGTGGCACCTCTTTGCCATTGCTTTTCTGCATTGAGGACAGTCATTGACCCTTAAGCAAAAGGGGGGGAGGTTGGCAAGAGTTCTTCACTGTGCAGTGAAGAAACTGCACTTCCGCTACTCTGTAATGATTCTGTAATCTGTAATGATTCTCTTTGATGGATGCAGAAGAAAACAAACTCGAGTTAGGAGCTGTCATTGAAGTATCAAAAGCTTACATATGCAATTCTTGAGTGTTACCACTGTGCACCGACCCTCAAGGGTTGGTAGCTGTTATATCTGCTTGCCTGTGCAAAACCTGGTATATAACCTCACTTTTGTTGATACGCTTACAACATGAAAATGGTTGCTGAATCGCTATTTATGGTGTTGCTGGTGATTTGGGGAAGGATGGAAGAGAGGGTTGAATATTGCTTCCTGCTCCCCCAGTCAGTTTTCCAAGCCATTCACCAAGAATTTGAAAAAACAGCAGTCTGAGTGAGTTGGAAAGTGCTGTTTCTTTTTGATAATGCCTCTCAGACTGTAAATAAAAGCTGCTATTATGTGATGGTATAAACAGTATGCTTTGAGACTTTGTATTAGGAAACAAATGAGAACAAAACCTCACTTGTGTTACCAGATAACTTCTCAAAAGAATTAGTCTCTCTGTTTGTTTTCAACCTATTGTATATTCAGTACGTAAATCTTCAAAGTTTAGGATATCATGTGTACATATGCTGAATGAATGTAAGTCTTCCTCCAGGAGGGTTTATTCCACCAGAAAAGCACTGCAGTAACAATGCAATCGGTTTATACTTGGTCTTGTAATAGAGAAATTACCCACAAACTTCCTTCCTTAATTCTCCCATAGAAAATCTCCGGTCAATTGTATTCTAGATTTTTAACTTCAAATTAGATGAAAAAACAATGAACTGTGTTTGTGCCAACTGTTTTGCCACTGGTTTTGATACAATCAATGATTCTTGTTTCATTTGTAATGGATTGCTTTGAGCTGATGTTGCCTTTGCTTTTTTCTCCATGACAGCTGTAACTCTGCGAGGAGACAGTGGTCGAAGATCGGAGAGGAGAGCCAGGCGAGTTTCAGCATGTCTCTCAGATCATTCACTGGCTAGTGACAGTGGCGTGTTTGAAGCTTTAAGCAAAAGGTCAGGTGTATAAATGCGTAGTAAGCTGGAAATATTCCTGTTCTACCACGTGGTTCAAAAGAATTCATTGTAAATTTCGGAATACGCTTTCAAAATTGCTAATCCTTAGTAACGTAAGAATATTAGGTTGCGTGTTTTAAAGGAAAAATGCTTTTTACGTGCAGTTCCACTGTCATCTTCACAAGTGCCAGATCCCTTTCACTTTATTGTCTCTAACAGTTTAACACCATAAACTTCTTGCTTGAAAGATTCCCTTGAAAGTTTTCTTGGCTTATTAGTCATAAATTAGTAATTTTATTTCAACCATCTATAACAAAATAAAATTACACTGTGTGACTTACAATTCTGCGTAGCATGTGATGAAAGTATAACTGCAAGGACGAAATATATGAACTGCTGAAAATCTAAAAATGTGTAGGTTGACCAAGTGATTGAAGGATGGTTGAAGATGTGGCTACTTTATGCAGTTGTTTTGACACAGTAACCAGTAACTGGGAAGAAGATAAGGTTGTGAGAATGCTAAAGAGAAATGGAAGGCAGAATAAGTATTTTAAAAAAATACAAGTGTTCAAAGAGGTATTCTAAAACCTCAATTTTTTAAATTGTGAATTACTCCTTCTGTGTGCTTTTAAATAGGTATCTCGGTTCCTTCTATATTACCAGTCCCTCTTGTATTACTAAACAATTGCTTATATCCACAAATCACAAAATGTATGTTTATTTTATTATGTTTTAACACCTTAGGTCAGTATGTAGTTTACAGAACTCTGTTCTTGCAGGAATGAAGATCTGGAAGAGCCTGGTTATGGGGATGCTGCCAGTAATGAAGAACCACAAATACATGTTGGATTTCTGTGAGTAGTGTTACTCCTCTTTCTTCCTGTCAACTCAGCAGGATTTGCTCACTAGTTTTCTTGGGTTTAGTTTCTAACTTTTTAATAAAACTATCCACTGTGGTTCAATTGTAAGAAGTTTCTGAGCTGAAAGCCAAAGTGTGCTTTTAATTCTGGCCAATGAAAGGCCTTCATTGCTTCTTTCAGTAGCATTTATTTTCATTGTCTGGGCCATTAGTGTGTGTATGGATATAGGGATATGTCTCTGTGAGATCTTTTTATGCCAGATAAGGGAGGATTACCTTAGGAAAGGCATAAGTGAAGAGACCCAAATACAGCTTTGAAATTCTGTGCTTGGGGCATTGTTAGTAGTGGGAATAGCTTGGGCAAAGGCAGATTATAGCACTGCAAGGCAGGATGTTTTATCTTAGACACCCCTCCAGAATCATCTCTACCCCTTGGAAAATTAATTCCCAAGGCTGGGAGTTTTCAAATTTCAGCCAGGTTTGTTAGTTCCATTTCAAAAGTCATGCTGATGTGAAAGAGTAGAGTTTTTTGTTTATTTTCATTGACCCATGAAAATACCACAGACTGATTTTTCTAATGTAACTGATATGTTGTTACACACGCATGCACTCACACATTTATGCATACCCTGTAACTGTTTAAACCAAGGAGTTTATCTTATAAAACCTGTTAACAATCAAGAACCACAGCAGGGAATATTAATCTCTTTGAATTGAATAATGTTTACTTCTTTTAGTTCTGATAACTTTGTTACTGTAGCTAATATTAAAAAATGTTCTCTTATCAGAGTGTGATATCTGTAATTGCTTTTGATTCGAACTGATTTGTGTAAGATATTTATTTAAACAGCAGAATATGCTTTTTACGTTCTTTAAATCTTTTTAGTCTTTCATCTCTGTCTCTTAAACAAAATATTGATGCTTGGTGACTAACTTAGGAAATCTATTTTCCAGGCACGACAGTGGAAGCGAATGTCTGTTAGTCCATGTGTTACAGCTGAAGAACTTCACTAGTCTAGTTGTTAAAGAAAACTGCAAAATGTAAGCTTAAATTTCACCCAAAGTCCAATTATTGCTTGTTTTGTGCCACAATACCATAAATCTTCAGGGCCAGGCTGGATGAGGCTTTGAGCAACCTGGTCTAGTGCAAGGTGTCCCTGCCCATGGCAGGGGGGTTGGAACTAGATGGTCTTTAAGGTCCCTTCCAACCCTAACCATTCTATGATTCTATGATTTAATTAAGCCATTTCTGGAGAAGATGTTATGTCTTAGCTTACATGGGGAAAGGGTTAATTTTGTGGACACGAAGTGTCCCTTTTCTAGGACCTCTCTCATAATGCTCAGGTAACAAGCATAGTCTCTAATGACCCGTGTTTTTATGCGTTCCTTACGCATGGGAAACTTTGTTCAAAACCATCAAAGTCCTGCTTCCATCACCCCATGCCTTCTGAAAGTGTCTGCGTTATTTGCAGTATTCCACAGCTTCTCTACAGCTCATCTGTGGTGTATCCCTGAATAAGCTTAGTATAATTTTCTCAAATTCCTATGGTCACACCTATATTAATCAGGAAGAGAGATATCTTCCCCCTTATCTTAAAAACAAAAACCCACCAAACCCAAACAAAAACAAAAAACCCCCAACAAAACAACACACAAACAAGAACAACAAAAAACAATCAGGACGTCTGCAGACTTCTGTGGCCATTACAGCTGTCCTTGAATATCTCTGAAACACTATGAAGATAATTTTAACACAAATTATCAGCTGGGAATCAGTACAAACAATTGCATTTTTTAACCTGGTGTCCTGTGCCAGTTTTTCAAATTCCATATTGTCTTGTATAGAACATTGCTTAGTTCATTACACTAAACATCTCTTAAATAATGGCAGTCTTGCTATAAAACAGTCTTATCTAGTGCTATGTATCAACGTATTTTGAAGACATTTGACTGGTGAAAATTGATGATCTTCATCTCTGGGAGAGGTGGTTTGAAAACTGGAAAATGAAGGTGCGATAACATCGTACTGTAAAACCAGTCATTCTGTGGGAGCTGTTAAATTGACATACAGCTCTCTGAATGGTTTGATCTTTGTTGAGAACGCTTGATCTTGCTAACCCTGCAAACCTCTGGTGGAAATGCTTCCTGTAGGTCAACGCATGAGTTTTGGTCTTTCGCGTTGTTTTCAATCTGAGTGCAAGGGCATGCGATAGGGAAAAATGTGAGTATTGGGTAGTACTCAGCCACGTTGCCCTGTGATTAGAAAAAGAAATAGGCATCATCTGAAGAAAATAGTCCCTAAGAGAAAAAAGAATTACTCCAGAGGGTTTGTTGGTCATTGTCATTAAGGCAGTGTGCATCAGAGTGACTCTCAAAAAGGCAGTTCTGTTCCCCATCCTTCTCAGTTAACTATTTGGCTGGAATCAAGAAATTGCATGACTGCAGGGTTAATCATTGGTTTGGCTGGTCAAAAAAGAAGTTTATCTTACCAGAACCAGAGAAAGCTTTTATCCAGTTTAATGAATTCCTCTGTACATCTGTTGTAGTATGTACAGTTGTTTTACTACAACTGTAGAAACAGTAGCTGGAGGCAGTGGGGAGGAGGTTACGTGCAGCAGCCAGTGAGCCAGAGGAGTTGGATGGCTCCCTTTTTACAGCATGTAAAGTTGTTTCACTGACTGATGCTCCACACTCATGCACTGCTGTTCTGCCACAGTGAGCTCTTCCAACTGTCCTCTAACCGTTTATATGCCTGTCGGTGTCTACCCCTCTCTGGTGGGGGCGTAAGAGTTCCTGCAGCTGTGTAGTGGGCCTCTGAGCCTCAGTGGCCTGGGGTTTGGTTTTGCTCGTTTAGCTTTTTAACCCAAATAAGTTTTCTAATCTGGCTCACAACACAGTTGCGTGAAGCTGTTTTCTGGCACAAGGGAAAGTATGGCAAAACGTAGGATACTACAGGGCTTGGACAAGCAGTCTGGACAGGGAGAACACAAACACTTCTCTAAGATGATCTGCTGCATTCTGTCCAATGGAGATGGTTGTGGATTTTGATTTTGGCTTGGAGTCTGAAATGCCATGGTGCCAGATACTTAGATTTGGTTTTTAAGATGGCAGATGGATGCAATGATTGTAGGCTTCCCGTTGCCCCCCTCGTGCTGAGTTTCTTAAGGGGTGAGGCGGGGCGGTATGCTTAGTGGGTGGAAGGAAGAAATGGATCAGTGACACTTAGGGGGCAATTCAGTTGCCTAAACATAGGCGTGTGTGTCCATTTGAAATAGCACAGCACCTGGCCTCCAGCTGCTGCTGCTCAGGAGGGCTGTAGCTCTCCCATAGATCCTATGTCATATATGCTAGCCCCATGTACATGCCTTGGATACCTCAGGGCATCTGAAGTGCCACTTGGTGCCTCTGCTTAAGCAGCAAGGTTAAAAAAAAAATTTAGTTAGAAAAATGTAGCTTTCCAAATCAGCTTTGCAGTTCTGTGTTAAGAATACATAGGAAATTCCTGTAATGAGGAGATCCCAGAGCAGATTCTTAATGGAGAAGTTACACTGATGTTTTTGCTTGGCTTGATTTTGAGAAAAGGAAAATAGGTTGCTTTCTCTGAATTGTGCTATTTGTCTATTTTTGCTGTTCCCAGTCATGTGAGAGTTTATTTGCCACCACTTGAGTCAGGCACACCGACCACTTACTGCTCTAGAGCTCTGGAATTCCAAACTCCGTTAATATTTAATGAAGTTTTCCGAATCCCCGTACATTCAAGTGTTTTGAAATTAAAATCACTGCAGCTGTATATCTGTTCAGTTGACCATCAGCAACAAGAAGAACTATTGGTAAGTGGTTCTTTTTCTTAAAAGCCCTGTGATAAGGGAAACTAAAATTACTCAAGGAATAATTTTTAAGATTAAAAAGAGAACGTGAAGACTTTGGTTTTCCATAGTTATATGTTAATGTGTTATGTTTGTTCATATACACATACATATGCTTCTGTTAATAAAAAAGGTGGGATTTTTAAAAAAAGTTGAAATATGTGCATTTTATTACAAGAAATCTTGGAAATAATTATCAAAACTAGCAGAGTTTGAGAATTGGAGCATTTTAAGCAGGGTTGAAGGGAATGTTACAGAGGCGTGTTGAAAATTGATACAACATTTACATTCATTGCTATGGGATTTAGTAAATAAGGAGTTAATTTTTCATATATTTAATGTATTTTTTACAAATATCTGCTTTGGGGAAAGCTGAAAAATGTGCCATTGCTAAATTTTGTTGCAAGGGGTAATGCCCTCTGTAAAAATTAGACTTTTCCCAAAGACTTCATCTGACAGCTTTTAGGCTACAGTGCGCTCAGGACTTCGTTCCGCGTGGCGCTGTAACTTGTGTGTGATGAGTCAGTATCACTGAAATAGCTTCCTAGTAAAACCACAACAAATACAACCCCCTTGTTGCTATGTAACAGTGGGCGAAGACCATTACTGCTCTGTCACTCTTAACTTTGTTGCAGGCTGCTGGCGGGCCTGGCAGGTTTCTGTTACGCCAAAAAAAAAAAGCTAGGTCTTCAGGTTATGTTGGTAGGAATTTTTTCTTTCATAGTCTTAGTGTAGTTTTGTCAGAAGTGTTTTTCTCTACAAGTAATTGGTAACATACTTCAGGTTAAGTTAACGTTGATACCCAAAAAGAGAAACAATGCCTTGGTTTCTTAACATAGGTCATTGAAGTATGTGTTTAAACATTATGATCATTGCTCTCTTTTGCTACAAATTGAAAATAAGCATTTTCTCAAATGGAGAAATCATTTGATATATCTCTCTGGAACTGCTGTCATGGCCTCTGAATTGTCTTTCAAAATCTTTTCCACTGAGATTACAGTTTTTTCATCCACATAATCATCTGTATATTTGTGAAATTCTTGATGACTGCTTTTTTTTCAATTTGATTATCCCAGTTTAATATTTTCCTTAATGCAGAAGCCAGGCTGGAGTTTATCCTGAGTTAATGCTTGAATGCTTGTACATAACAGGGAAAGGGGGGGGCGGGGGGAACAAACAAAACCAAACCCACCAAAACCACACACCAAAAACCCCCTGGCTGTAAACTTCATTTACATAGTGAAGTAAATCTGCTAAGCATGTGGGATGGTCTTTCCATTCCCTCAACTTTTTACTCGTATGCCCTGCATTGCTGAAAGATCTTTTGCTGTTCTCCTACAGCTTTCTGGAACAGTGCTTCCTTAAGCTGACTTACGACTTCCCTAGTGGCCTCATCAATGTTGAGATAAGGGAGTTATTTTCAATGATTAGCATATATAGCTCATCTTCAACCATCAAAGAAATGTGACTGCCTTTCTTGCAATCACATGGCATTGTTGTTTCACTCCTTGTTTCTGATCTTTTACAGCTCTGACCGAGCAACTATTCTTTTATAGGTAAAAGGTATCTCTGTAGCATCCAATATACTGACATCGAATGGCTTTCTCAGTAACATGTCGTATTCTGGTGTGACATTCTTTTGTTAGCCTGGAAAACTTTTCTTCATCGTCCTTCATACACCTGTTTATAAACGGAGCCCCAGGGGACATTAATCTTGGAAAAACAATACAATTTTTAAAAAATAAATTATTATTTTATAATTAGCTCTTTCTTTACCTACTTAAAGTTGAATGCAGTTTATACTGCCTTTACAATTGGAATCACTGCAACCAGCTATCTGTCTTGTGAGAGATTTAAAACATTTTAACATTATTTTTCCAGTGATATAAATGAAAACGTTCTTAGCCTGTGGTCATGGAAATGCAGAGGTTGTAGAGAGAGCCAGATAAAGCCAAAAGCAGTAATTAAAGGTTAGCTAATATAAAATCTTCGCTAGGTCCATCTAGTGAACTGACTTTAAAGAAAAAAAGACATGGATTTGCTCACAGATGTTTTTCATTTAGGTCAACACCACTCAAATTTCTTATGTGAGCGCTGTCTGATGGAGTAGGGCTACATTAAAGTTGGGAATACTTTTAGTGGGAAGCCTCCATTAAACCAGTGTTTGCCTGAGTCTGGGAGATGTAAGAGTGGCTTGGAAAGTGAAAAAATAGCTTTATGACCATTTGACTACCGTGTGATATAAATAGGCAGGGGGGAAAAAAAATGTTTTACACAACATTTTTTTCTCCTTTTACAAGATGCTTCTTAGGACCAGAGAACAGAATTCTATCTTGGAATATAGTTCTCTCAAAATGAAACAGGTTCATAAAATATTAAAAGTTACCAACTGCAGCAGTCACACCTGCATCAGTCATATGCATTTTATTTTCCAACTTAAAAGGATAGAATATCTATTCTGATCCTTTCTGGTAGTAACCAAGAGGCAAGAAATTCAGTGTCTCAAACATCATAACCCAAAGTAGAAAACTGCCACTTTTAAAGAGACACTATTAGTCATAAAGTGGTGTTTTTACATTTTAAGCAAAATACTCCTTGAAGGAGGTGTCTGTCATGCAGTGTGTGTTATTGTGGTCAATGCTTTTTGTTGTTTACAGGGCATTGCTCAGATAAACCTGACTGATGCAGAGAATTCTGGTGAAATGCAGCTTCACTGGTATTCAGTTCAGATCTTCACTGGTTCAGACCCCCAGAGAGCCAAGAACAAAAACCAGTGTGAAGAAAACATTCCCCGGTCTTCTGGAAATGTAACTACAGTTAAAACAGTATGGCTCTGAGAAAGTGATTTGTTTACTTTATTTGATCTGCTGGGTGGTTGGTGGTAATTTTATCTTGGGTGCATTTTGGTTATGAGGTGCCCAGAAGGCAATACCTTAATTTAGCTCTTGTGGCAACAGCTGGATTTTAAAAGAATAATTACAGGCTAGATGATGTCTGGAGAGGTGCTTGGAATAGTACTCGGTGTGTGTTTGTGTACACGCTTCCAGCTGACCAAAACTCATTAAAAATTCCTGCCACTGCACTTCAAGATGTTGTCAAGGAAGACTGTGCAGTTTCCACCCTTGGGGATGTTTCAGCTCTTGACTGGGCCCTGGGCAACCTGATGTGGCTGTGAAGCTGTCCTTGCTCTGGGCAGGACATCGCACTAGGTGACTCCAGAGGTCTCTTCTGGCCTCACATGCTGGATGATGCTCCACAGTGAGGTAGTCTCCGTGAGAACTTACATTCATGGAACACAACATACTTTTTGGTCATTAGGATTAAGAATAGGTATGTGTGGCTTTTTGTTTGGTTGGTTTTTAAGGAACGTACAAAGGCTATGTTGGTATTTTGTGTTTCTCTGAATACTATACATTAAACACAGTGGCTTGTTCAGATGCTTTTATTTGAAGCCAAGTTTGCCTTTCAGGATGCAGTGACAGCCCTGTTAGCTAGGACCACCGCCCAGCTGGAAGCAGTTGAGCGAGAGTTGGCTGAAGAGAGAGTGAAACTGGAGTACACAGAGGAGGAAATCCTGGAGATGGAAAGGAAGGAAGATCAGGCAGAAGCTGTATCAGAAAGGTAAAAATGGTAGTTTAAATACTTCATCAAACAGCCAAGTGATATTTACCCTGTGGGTATATTGTGAAATACAGCAGAAGCATCAGGTCCTTGTTCTGAGGTCTGCTCCCTGAGAGTGTTACGAGTACAAAATTCTGTTGTGTGATGATGTGCAAACAGGAGAAAACCTTATTTGAATAGCTGGATGAGTTTAGATGACTTGGAATTTGGGGAGTGGGAAAACAGAAACTTTGCTAGGGAGGCAACTATAATGGGTTTGCAACAGCACTGTACTAAAAAAATAATTTGTGGCAACGCAGGCAAACGTCTCAGGTATTGCAGTGCTTACGCAGTGAGCATGCAACACAGCTCTTACTATTTCAGGGTTTATTACAATGCTATTTCATCATTAATAATACTCCTGGTTTCTTACATGTGTTGCATTGTTCCTTTTGTTATAGTTTTCTTAGTATTTTTATAAAAACCAGAACATAGGCTTTAATTTAAGAAAATTAGGGAGGGTGATTCTCTTTTTAACAGGAAATGTATTTACTTGTCTGCATCTGCAGAAATGCAAACGGGGTATGTGCTCCTTTTGAAAATTCTGTAGCTTTGTTGGAGAAATAATAACCTAAAATGATAAACTGACCTGGATAGTGAAATATATAAACATGACACATAATTGCATGACTTTTTTTAATACCTACAAAATTTTTGTGATGTTCTGACTTTAGGAGTTGGCAAGCAGAGTCTGTTGACAGTGGATGCAGTAATTGCACCCAGACTAGTCCTCCTTATCCAGAGCCGTTTTGCGGGGATTCATTAGCTGGACACATGTTTGCAACGCAAGCAGGCCAGTACAGTTCTGGAAAAATGCAGCCTCCACCTCTCAAGGTAATGAGAGAAGCCACTGTGGTACGGAAACTGCCATGCTGCCTGGTGCACGCAGCATGTGTTACTGCTGCTTGTTGAGTTTGAGTCTGAGTGCATCAGGAGAGAAATGACGGTAACAGCCCTACACCACCTTCGTGGCAGCCCTGTGCCTTCTGAGTTGTTAAAAATGCCCTCTTTAGGGCTGGGGTTTTTGTTCGCTTGCTATTTTGTTCTGGACAGAATTAGTTCTTTATATGAAAGCTATTTATTTATATGAAGCTATTTTTACTGTGGCCTTTATCTAATCTCTAAATATGCACTCATATCAATGTCTGTGTTGACCTGAAACAGAAAAGATTATGATCAAATTCCAGTGCTCTTAGAAGTAAGAATTGTTGAAGGAATTGTGAAGAAAGAAGCTTAATGTCTTACAAGAAATGCAGCTGAAATTTTCAGAACAATTATGTTGAAACTGATGTATTTAAAATCTTCTGTATTTGAGATATGAGACACTGGAAATAATCTTAAAACAAGCTGAAATCAGCACGCTTCCCTTGAGGTAGATGAACATAAGCCATTTGTGTTGCCTTTAGGGAAGATCAGACCTCCTGTTGAGTTTAGTCGTTGCTGGACTAACACGTTCTCTGTATTTCCAAGTATTTTAGTGTTCTTGTATCATTTTTTTCAAGTCTTTCAGTTCCCTTTGGTTAAGTCTCTTCATTTGAATTCCTCCAGTTTAAAGGTGGCTGATTGCTTCAGAGTCACCTTGCTTATTGAAAGGTGACTCAGTTTTCTTCTGCTGAGGCTGGAGATCAGGTGGTAGCTTGGTTAATGCCCAGTTGCCAATGCTGAATGCAGTCTTTGTGCTCTGCAGCGATGATTCACAGTATAACTGCATCTCATAATTGCTACTATTCCAACAAAGGTTTCTGAAAGGTAATCTTATCGTTTCAAATGGCCTAGCTTTAAAACTTTTTAGAAATGAGGTGATTCTTTTTCTGTTCTCAGTGCTCATTAAAACTTTGAATCTAACTGGCATGACAAATTGTTTACTTCTGGTATTGTTGAAATGCCTGATTGGTCTTGATGAGAGAGAGAAAACGAGGAAAAAATAAATATTTTTCCTTCATTGACATTTTAGGTGGATAAGGAAACTAACACTGAGGATCTGTTTCCTGAAGAAGTTGCTATTCTTCCAAAAGAGAGAGCTAGCCGCAGGCCACGGGGTTCTGCTTTTGTTCGCAGCAGCACTATTGTTCGTTCCCAGACCTTCTCGCCGGGAGCACGAAGTCAATACGTTTGCAGAGTGAGTACCACTTAAAAAGGGTGTGTGTGTGTGTGAGGAGGTTCTGTCACACACGTGTTTTGTACTTTTTGTGATAGTTTCTTCTCAAGACTTTATTACATTTATAAGAAACATATACTACTTTTTAATACTAACTACTTTTAATACTAATGAATAACTACTTTTTAATGCTAATGAATAATCTTTCATTGAATATAAACATTGCAGGGGGGAGGAGGTCCCCTGGTTCTTTTTCTTTTTAAGAGTTTAAAACTGAGCTTCATTTAAAAATTAGAAAGGAATTTAGGATTCCTGATGGAAGTAATGGCAATCAGCACAACAGTTTTCAAGCTCACCTTAGCCGGTTACAGTGTTCAGAGACAAAAGATTTATAAGCAGGTGGCTCACGGCATTGCACATCAATAGATAGGTATTGATTTTGCAATATTGCTGGAATGCATGTAGCTTTAATTGTACTCTTTCATAAGCTTTTGAGAGCTTGAGTTTGAAAATGCAGTAATGGCTTTTAGCTTTCATGCTTTTTCCTAAACCACGGATGTTCCTGGTTTTTGCTCTCTTATTTACATTGCACGTAGTGCGTCTGTGGACCCCTTCAAATTGTTCAGTCTGATTTCTGGATTCTGTATCTGTTTATGATATAGTTAATGTGAGTAAATCACTGTAACACATCAGAGCAAAGATAGTGCAAAAGGAAAAGATGGTTAAACACCCCCACTTAATCTGCATTTACTTAAAATCAGAGTTGGGGGAAACGTGGGAGACTGTATTGTTTGTGCCCATGACAGTAAATGCTTTTGGAAGAAATAATATTGCTTTCAGCTCCCTCCTCCCCCTTTTTTACGTTGCATTGTCTTGGATATTTAGTAGAATGCTTGATGAATCTTAGCTGTAAAACATTGATGAAGTTTTCTTGAATTATTGTAATTACACAGTATGAGCACTAATATATAAATCGTTATAAATAGCTACAGCTGAAAAATAATCAATTGCTTAAAACTAGACAGTTCAGTGCATTTAAAAAAAAATAAAAACTCAAGAGCAAAAGAAAAAGAAGAAAAAATAATCCAGGATTTCTTCATGTAGACAACCTTGTAAGCAAACTGTATTTTCAATCTCTCTTGTAATCAGCTGTACCGCAGTGACAGTGACAGTTCAACTCTGCCAAGGAAGTCCCCTTTCGTGCGGAATACATTGGAGAGGCGTACTCTACGGTATAAGCAGGTATACCTAGAATGCTGCTTTTTACTTTTCACCAAGTTGCTACGACACTGGTACTTCTATAGCTAACCTTTACATGTCTACAGGTACATTCTGATGTTTTTAGGAAAGGTATAAGGCTTCTGTAATGTAATTGGGGGAGGGGTGTGTGTTTTGGGTTTGATTTGGGCCTTTTAAGATTAAAGGTAGACTTAGAAAAGTGAAATATATTTGTGAATAATTATTGAGGATAAAAAGTATGTGGCAGTTTATTTTAACAGGGACTGAATTTGTACTGATTTAGATATAAGCTTTAAACCTTTAAAATCTAGTTTGTGATGCAGGGTGCAGGCCCAGCGAAGTGTGTGTGAATGTAGCAGTACAACATCCAGCGCCCCTCCCATGCAGCCTAGCAGACCATAGCGTCTGAGACCCAGGTATTTGGGAATGAATAGGTTAAGCTCTCCTTTTGCCCCCGTGCCACCGCACGTGCTGCAGAAGTGGGCAGAGGAGGGCAGGTGAGACGTTAATGCCTTGTATATAAATTGCATAAAGTTAGCCTCGTCAGCAGAAGTCACTGTCTTGCTGGTGTCGGCAAGGAAACAGCTGCACCTCCCACTCTGATTCAGAATGTGTCTTAAAACCAGTGTTCAATGCAGCCCTTTAAGGGGAATCTTGCTTAGTACAGTATTTTCCACTACCATGACTCAGAAGTTTTCCATATTGCATCCCTTTTATTATCATCATAACATGAAAGTTTAGTCCATAAACTTAAATTAGTTAAATATTTATAAGCCAAAAGGAGACTGTGGAAGGACAAAGTATTAGTTGAAAAGGTTTATGAAAACCCCTACAGCTATTTAGCCTTTAACTGTGGGATATAAATAATCTCTCCAAAACTTTGTGTCAAGAAAGAGTTTTTGTGTGAAGTAAGTACAGAAAATGTATGCTCTATATAACTAAAAATAGACCAATATACCATGTTGAGAGTAATATATTGTGCATTTTATTTGAATCCTATTAACTCGGCAGTCCTGCAGATCATCGTTGGCTGAGCTTATGGCAAGGACGTCCTTAGACCTGGAGCTGGATCTCCAGGCATCCAGAACGAGGCAGAGACAGCTGAACGAGGAGATATGTGTGTTAAGGGAGTTGAGACAGCGTCTGGAAGATGCCCAACTGAGGGGGCAGACAGATCTACCCCACTGGGTCCTTCGGGATGAGCGATTCCGAAACTTGTTGAAGGAAGCAGAAAGGCAGGTATGGTAACAGGAGACGAGCACTTAACATGTTCAGAAACTTCTGGTTTCAGAATTTCTTGATTGTGACAAGATGTCTAAAGAGCTGTTTTTACAGAACTTCAAACAATTAGCATGATCCAACTTTTTGCGGTTTAGGCCCTGCCAGCAACTGGGTACTTCGGAGCCACTCACTCACTCACCTCTCCGCTCCAGTGGGATGGAGAGGAGAACATGACAGGAAAGGCTTGTGGATCGAGACAAGGACAGGGAGGGATCACTCATCTAATTATGATCACGGGCAAAACAGACTTGACTTGGGAAAGAAAAATCATTTTAATTAGTTACCAATCAAATCAAATAAGACGATGAGAGACAAAACCAGGTCTTAAAAACTTCCCCCCTATCCCTTCCTCCTTCCTGGTCTCAGCTTTGTTCCAGATTTCTCTGACTCCTCCATTATTTTAACTTGTGTATTCTTGTGTTTTATTTATTCGCGTGACCATTTAAAGCGTTACATTATTGTTTTCAGACCAGACAGACCAAATTTGAACACCACCAAGAGCAAGCAGCTGAAAAGATGCTAAAGAAAGCATCAAAAGAAATATACCAGTTGCGTGGGCAAAACCAGAAGGAGCCTATTCAGGTGCAGACCTTTAGGTAAGTGGTAACGTGTGCTGAAATAGCATAGCAGCAGCTCAGCAGAAAGGTTAAAGCTCTCTGAAGCATTTAGCTTAAATTCTGTGTGTCTGATTTTTAACTCTATATTGATTTGGACACATGAGTTTCCTTTGAACTGTTTGTAGTGCAGAGAGCCAAAGGTAAGGTAAAATTGCAGTGTTAAAATTCTAAACCACATGAAATTTAAAAAAAAAAAGTCTTGAACTGCAAATGTGTCTTAGGTGATTCTTTCCCTTAGCCTAGTCACTGCGAAGTTCACATGGTTGGTCAGTTCTTCAGTGCAAGCCTGTAGGAATAAATTGTTTAATGCAGTACATCTACGTTACTAGTAACACTGTCTCCCTAAAAATTACTCAGTAATATTCCAGCTTTCTCTCAGGAAGCTTTTTCTATTTCATCTGTGTTCACATGGTCTGTGTCATCTCTTAGCTTTATTTTTTTCCTGACAGTTTATTCTGTGAACAATTGGCAATGATTAACAGTGTGTGTTTCACAGGAAGACTTTATTACTTCAGCATTAGTTTTTTTATAATAAAAATTACTATTATGTAGCAGCAAGAGTCAGGAACTGTTAGTGCAGCATAAATGTGGAGGACAGCTCAGCTACAATGTTACACTATACTATTTCATCCCCTCTTCAGATTTTTAGTACTTCATTGCAAGGAATGCTTAAGTGAAATAGAAAAGCTCCCTGTCCTTTAACGTAAGGGGTTTTTGCTTGAATTATGTTGGAAAGGTCTTTATCGCAGAGGTGGGGAGGAAGTAATAGGAATAGAAATTTTAGGGTTCTTTTTACATCTTGGGTTTGTGGTAAACCCACAACATCAGAAGGATATAGACCGGCTGGAGCGAGTCCAGAGGAGGCCACGAAGATGCTCAGAGGGCTGGAGCCCC